TTCCAATCTGTCCGGAATGCCTACTTGTGTGACTTCCGGTGGTCCCGCGAATCTGTGGTTCGCGGTCGGTTCCGATTTGGGCTCTGTTTTCCTATTTGATCGAACGCAACTGATGGAAAATGAACCGGCTGATCCATGTGATTCTATGAAGGTCAGTCATCCCTGTAAACTTTATGATCCAAATTTGTTTATTCATTACATTCTGCACTACTACCACCATCCTTGATACTTTTCACGTTGTTTGGTTATTTAATTGTTACTCACAACAATCTCACTTTGATTGCACCCGTTTGCCCCGGTAAGCTCTGCAAAAATCGGAATATTAGACCGATTGTTTCCCTCGTACTGCTGTTTCTTTTTGTCCGTTCTGTGATTATTTGTTCTTTATGGGACACGAGATTTACGGTCATGAGATTTGAACTTCGCGAGTAGAAGACATTCATTGACGATATATTTTTGACATGGTTTGGCGCTGGTTGGATGGAGAAGTGGGTTAGTCCCTTCGAGTTGAGCCGTCATATGTTCAGAAGTGTATCGGTTTCTGGTGTCCAAATACTCTGCGAACGGTTTGTTGGATACGCCCAACTATGACAACGAACCGAGAGCAGTGCTGTTCTCGTTGTCATTTCTTATCAGTTCAGAATACTTGACGAGATTCGTGTGCACCCTTAGACCGTAGTTTACCACAGACATTCACCTTTCTTTCCACCTTACACATTCCTACTTTGTGTATATTGTAAGTTTAATAGCAGTCTGTGAAGTTCCTTTCACTGTAGGATTAAGAGAATGAAATTTCGACTTTCAGGCAGCAAAACTTTCGCACCACTGATCAGGATTCGGATGAGCAGTCATATGCGAAAACATGACCGAGCCATCGGAAATGTTACAGGGTGATTCTCTTTTGCCGTGGACTCTTATCTGCACCCAACACACGATGGAAGCGGAATCTTACCTCGAGGTAGTGTCGAGGAAGAGGTCACATTACAAATGATAAATGACAGTAGCTCTTTTAGTTATCTTGCGACCTCTATGGCACCGTCATACCATCCGATTTTCCCTTACGGAGAGGGTATACATAGCGTTTTGCTTAACTAATTCGGCACCTGGCTTCACTCTGAGGATGTCATTTGACCCTTAGTATTTGCTCACTGATTTTTTTCGAAATATTGCTGGTGTCTGACGGGAAAATCTAGTAATGATATTCATCGTCGTGTGCTAGGTGTTGCTTACCGTTCTCTGAAAGAGGATATCCCTTTAGACCGCCTCCAAAGCGTCGCGGCAGTCAGGCTATTTAGGACCTGGTGTTGGGTTATGAAGAAGTTAGCCTCAAAATTGTCTTCGGGTGGTGCAATTCTCTCTCCGGGTTCGGGCCCAAAGAATGAGGTTCATTGCTGATTAGAGATACAAACAGTGGCGCTCAGGTATCTACTCATTATTCTTGTAACTTCAGTCTATGAAAATGTGCTGTCTTCCGCTTGAATCTGCTCTAAACATTCTAATCATCATTCTGCTGTTTTATCCAACCAAAACCGGCACACGAAAGTGCGTGATTAATAGTTGTAAGAACTGAANAGAACTGAACTGAACTGAGAGACACTAAGCATAGAAGTCAGTGGCGTGCGTTCATCATTTTTGAGAGTTGCTAAGCTGCAACAACGCGTCCCTTCTACAGTTCTCTTTTTCTAATCTTTGTTTTTAATAAAACCGGAGACTTTCCGTCAATTTTTTCCCCGCAGTCAAATATTGATATCTTCGGCATTCTTACCGCTTTCCTCCTACTCCACCTGACCACAGTATTTCCTATCGTTTGAAGACCCATGGTGATCGTCCTCCTCAGTTATGCACACCGTTTTCATTGTGCTAATCTATACACAGGTCTATTGTGATATATCTGAAGAAGTGAATGGTTTTTCAAAAAAAAACTATATATGATTGGGTGTTTGATTTTATTGCTTTTTACTAAACTATCACCGGTTGGACGGTAGGTTGGTCCCATGGGTGTATCCATAGTGTTCCTTGGGAACAGGATACAGACCAGTGTCTCCAGCACCGTTCGGAGCTGTTTCACCACTCATTTGCCCAGTCCCGGGGTAAGAGGTAGACTAAGTACCTTTTTGTTCGAAGTTTTACTTCTAGCAGCCTCCAAGGTAGTCAGGTTAATTCTGATCTGCTCTTCGCTTCATTTTCCTCTCCTGTCAACCCATGTCGGGTAAATGAATGAAGTACCACCGGACCAGTGACGGGCTTCTATCACCACGTTACAGTGCGATCACATGTGATGAAGGGCTCTACTCGGGTAAAACCCCACTGGACTGCCCGTGATCGCGTATTTTGTGAACATAGACTCACCTTATTCGCAATAAAACACCGGATTGCTTGCTGATCAACCCTCCCTCTCTCTCTCTTCGTGACTAGTCATTACCATGTCAGTGGATCACAAACGATCGCCGAAGACTCTTACCTGATAGGGACTATCTTGGCTAGTGCAGCTGCCTGTTGCCTATTCAACCAATTGACTTTGCTGGTTTATTTTGTTCCCAATAATGCACATGATTGTATTCGTTTCAGAGTTTGACCTAATCCATTGTAAATGGTTAGAGGTGAACGTGCTAGAGAAACGTTTTTTCCATTTCATGTAAATCATACTCCTAAAGTTTCCAATCCACTCCTGTCATCCATCAAATCTCTTTTAATTCGACCTTGGACAGCCTTTTTTAATCTATCAGGATGTAAGCGTCGGACTGTCCACTGGCGTTTGTGCTCTTGCTCTGAGCAATGTTCGTGTTGACCCCACTGGAACAGTTCCATCGACACGCGATGAACCCTGTGATTCATCATCAGCGGAACTCACTTATAACAGTGCACTATTGGCCACAATATGCGAACAGCCCAGTTGGAATGCGGTTCATTTGTGGTCAGTGGTGTCTTGTTCCCACCCCGTACCAGACAGTCCCGCATCCAAAAACGACGATTGCATCAATGATCCGGCCGAACTGGTGCATGAAGAAGTACCTAGTACACCACGACGCCGTCGACATAAGCGAGGGAAATTACAGAAGCACAAACCGGTCTCCAGTCCGGTCAAGAAGACCGACACACACTTCTTCCCTCCAGAGCCAGTTTGTCATGACGAAGATAATGAACGAATCGTTGGTATCACGCAACCATACGCCATCGCGTCCGTCTCGCACTTCTCTATGGGAAGCAAGGCCTCTTCATCTCTTAGAGCTGTGAAACAAGTAAGCGGTATGATCGATAGATGTATCGTTCCATGACTTACATAGTTTTAGTGATGAATGGGAATTTGTCGTCATTGAGTATCGCTGCCCTATTCCCTGGATTTGTATTCCCACCTATACCCGGTCCTTTTTGTTGCACTTTAGAGTGATAAACAGCAACAACGGGGATGCGCCGTATAATCATAAGGGCCTCCTGTTTGTTTATGATAACTAGCAACCGTATCTGACTGGAATTAGAAAATACATTTCAAGTTTTGTATCTAGCTGGTCAGCAGATTTGGTAGCGGTGGCACCACTTTCGTAATTAGTTGTGTGACCGTCAGCGTGCAATTTTCAGCCGCAACGTAAATATATGTAGCCCTTTGATTGGCCGCTTCCCCCTTCCTGAAGATTATATTATTGTGTATTCAATAAAGTGGAATAAAAATGAATAAGAAAAGAAAAAAAATAGATGTGTTAATACAACAATGTCCTTTTCTACCGCATTACGCATTGCCTGAATCAAGTGTAAATTACCAGGCAATCATTGTTCAAGATCGATTTAAGTGCTTGATTTCCGTCTGGGGTAACGACCAAGGAGTGCGTATCAACAGATAAGTTTCTTCGGAATATGATGTTTGCTGAGACTGGTAATCGCTGCAAATAGGCCCAAGGGGTGGTCAAGCTAAGTCCTGTTATTAGGTTAGAAACTCCTTGACCAGAGAACTTTGTCATATAGATCGCTTTAGGTTCCCCAGGTGAGTGCCTCGAGCTCAGCCCAGTCAGTAATTATAAACACCAGGTACTAGGACCATGTTGTAAACCGTGATACTAGTGTGTTTACTCTCTTTCTATGTACCTCTGTCGTGTTTCCATTGGTTATTTCACCTTTGTTCTTGTTTTTTAGTCTTGGGATCCATTTGTTCACTAAGCGGCACAAAGGCACGTTCACATAACCAATCAATAAATTTATTCCATCAGCGAGTCATATACATATAATACTAATAATACTATTCACACGAGATCCATGGATGGGATGAATCTCACCGAAAAACTTGGGTGTCATGCTCATGATTGTTGAGGAAACTAGCTTGTCTTAGCCACGACGAACGAAAAAAACCGAAACACAAGGCGTGACAACGTTTCGACCCTTTGGAACGCCTTTCTCAAGTCGGTTAATCTCACAGTTACAAGCAATCATAAGGCAATGGGATGACGGCATTGTATAGAACTCGGATGTGATTCAAGCATGTGTGTGTGTAGGTGATCGTTGGACGGGTGGTTGGGACGAGTGAATTGGTTATTTGGCATTGGGGGTGAGATGAGATTATTTTGTATGTACGAGTGCCAGTTTTTGCCATAACTGTGGGATGACTGCTCCATCGGATCGATTGATTGCCTTAGGTTCAGCGTTGATCAGGAGCGATTCGGCTACCAAACGTTCCTTGTGGCTTCTAAACCCACGCTTTAGATTGTACGGGATTTTCAAATAATCTGCATACTATATTACAACCACATGAATGCACGTTCTGGTTATTGAGATATGCCCTTAGTTTTGCCAAGATTCTCTAGAGGTAGACTGAATAAATAGCCAAAAACCGCACACGGCGGTGCTAAGTTATCATCGATTTTTCAAATTGAGCTGAGCATTTACATTTGGTTTTCTGTTAATATATGACTTTCACACCTGACTTTGACTTTGCTACCTCAGAACCCTTCGGCTGTGCGACCGGGCTATCGATTCAAACACTGTCAATTTCTCAAGTCTCATTNCCTCTACTCAGCACAAGTAATATGTGCAAGAATAATAGGGTTGGTGCGGATCAGCCTTCTTGTTTTCTGGTTACAACGATGCAACCCTTGTGTGCGAATCGGAAAAGTGTAAGCCGAGTGATCGTCTGGGACGTCCCGATGCCCGCCCGCTCGTCTCAGTCACACAATACTAGCAATTCAGCCACTCCCCTCTCCTTGGTCCCATTGACAGATATGACTTTACCTCAAGGTGACTTGCCCGCTTGTCTGGCAGTGCACCCCAGTCGGTCACGCGCTCTGATCGGTGTGGGTACCATGAACGGCGGTGTGGAAGTTTATTTGTAAGTTTCTTATCCGTTCCTACGCATTGTTGTTTTACACGTGTGCAAGTTGAGGAGCAATTCGGGTGTGTATGGTATTATTTGATAACTGATCATGAAATGACAGATAAGCACAGTGTGAAGAGTAATTTCACGATCCAGCTGGTTTTCAGTCATTCATAATCACATCAACTGAACTGACAGTCTGTGGTTAACTGCAACTTTATCCCGATGCATTATTAACGCATCGATAACGCATCTGGATCATTTTTTTTCTACTGTATTGTTGAACACGTTATGCACCAAGGAATTCGATAGGAAACCATATCTGCTTGAAAACGCGTTTGGTGCCCTCACGATAACAATGATAATGGAATGGGAGGATTCGGTTTCGCCGGAGGAAAGTGTTGAAAATTAAATAACAGCGAATCAGACTGTCCATTTCCAAAAGTTTAAGTGCATGGGATGGAACTGTAATTCTGTACGGAATACTCCCTTTGTGGTTAAGGCTTGAAACCTCGCTAATCAGTCTAGTGGGCCTCTGAATTTTTTTCAGGGGGGGGGGCAAAGTACTTCAGTCTTATTCAACGTTTCTCCCGCATTGATCATCTTATCAGGACCCTTGGCGAAGGAATCTGTTTTTGTTTGTATTACTTTATTCCAGTATGTGTTCTCGGTGCATACGCGTCGCATTGCCTCTGTCTGTCTTAGCCGTCTAATTTATTTTCTCTCTGCTTTCAGTCTATCCCCGATTACACATACTCTGTCTCGTGTGTACTCGTTGAACAATGCGCATCCGATATTTGTCACCGCACTCACATTCCTTCCCGTGCGCCCGTCAGCAACTGAACCACCTATCACAAAAGCATCCACGGAAACTATGTCCGCAAAACCATGTCAACTTCCTGCCGTGCAGTCGGAACCTTCTTACGAATTAGTCAGCGTTAGCGTGGACCGTCAGCTACGTTGGCATCCCGGACCCAGTTCCATCCAAATCAGTCGCCTTGCTCATGGCCTTGCTGCGGACCCAGTTGGCGTATGGACCCAAGGAAAACGCTTTCTTCGAATGCTAATGCTTTACTTCGGTTTGGTGTTCCTTTTTCCCATCAGCTTAGCTTTGTTCGATCGTGTTTTTTACGGACTATTTTGATTTGGCTCCGACTCATCACACACACCCTGTCCTGTGACATTCCCTCGAACACTATTCGTCCCATTCACCCTTTCACCGTTCTTGTCTTTCACGCACCATTCCATATGGCTCCTCTATCCTATGCGCTGTGTCTACATTTGATTTGATTTCGCTGCTCAGTCCCGTCCGTCCTCGTGTCAACGGTCGCAAATCTTTTCCTATTTGAGCACTGATCTAACCACTTCCTATTGCCCTCCCCCCTGTCCAAACACACACTATCTCAAATGTCTACTTGTTCCCACGATTCTTCTCCTATGGTTTGATTTCCCCCTCCCCCCATCATGTGGTTGCTGTAAACACGCAAATACCTATCACTCTCGTGTGTTGTCTTAGTTCGTGTTCGTTTGCGGTCTGAACTGCAAATCGTTTCCCAGGAATACGGAGAATCATTGGTGGGATATTAACAAACCCGAATTGGCATGCTAATCGTTTTATTCGAACGATGTGAATATATCGAAAGTCATAGGGACAACCGGCCAAGTTAGCTCTGTTCTGTTCTTACGATTACTACAAACGAATCCAGCTACTCAAGCCCCGTCACGGAAGTTCCAAGTCAAGTCCTCTGGACACATCGCTCGGAGGCTGTCCGGTATTACAACAGCCCTCGGCATTCTGTACAGACCTGAAGTTTCGTCTGTGGTGGTTTATCATGACTGATTTGTGTAGCGTCCGGTTCCGAATCGATCCTCTCGATGTCTTAAGTTCATTGAAGTGAGTAGCGCTTGCGGAGATGGGTGGTGAATAGACCAGTCCGTGGTTTTATGCTTCGTGTTGTGTGCACTGCCTTCGCCCGCAAGACAATGAGTGGTGTAGGTTATTGAAACTTAGCATGTCGAGCTCAACACTGTCTGCAATCTTCTCATGACTAACTATTGAGAGTGATGAGCTTTTCTGGACTAGATCACTGAAGAACCGTAGTGGAAAATGGTATGCTAGGGAGATGGTTCTTCATACAAGTCAAAAAGCTCTCTCTATACAATGAAACTTTTCCCCATTGTTTCATTTCACCAAAACCGACAACTTCATTGGATTTGCGTGTTTCTTATTCTTGCATACAGAATCAAAGAGAAGAGTAAAAAGCGCAAGAAATTCGGTCTGCGAGTGCGTCTCTCCTACATATTGTCTGACTCAAGCAACGACTGCCCTAAATCATTTTTTTCGTTTCAAGTCCATTCGGATCGTTGTGGTTGTTTGATTTGTGTCCGGTACGACTGCCCTCCCTCTAGATCAAACAGTCTGACACCTGAGAGTAAATCGATACCGCTGTCCTCGCACGAGGATCTATCACGAAGTTAAATAGAAACGGAGAGAGAGGGTATTCCTATCGAACATCACTTTCCGTGGTGAACTTGGGTGAAAAGTGTCGTCAGCTCGGCTTCGGTTATTATAAACTTCTCGGGCACAGCCTTCAAGGAAAAGCCGCGCATGAGTTTTGAGCGGCCTACGGCAGCTCCCCTTAATCACTCACTTCTGTCTGAAGTGTGCCACGTTGTAGCTTGTTCGATTCGATAAAAACTACCAGCAACTTTCCGCCTTAGTCGTCAGATGAACTTTTTATTACATGTCTGTTTCAGTTTCTACAACCATTAACCATGCACTATCGTGCGCGGGTTTTGGTTGCTGCCTTTTAGCGGCCCATTTGGATGAACATGAGGAGAAAGACATTAAAGGTTGAAAGTAGGATCGAAAAAAAATTTAGGATTTCTTTGCACTAGTTTTGAAGATAAATCGACAAGATGCACGAACGACACCCAGCCATATCACTCAGTGTCTCTAACCATCAGGTATGACCATCCCGAGGTCCCCAGCCAGGGAGCCTAACAGAAACTATGTGACCCAGGCTCCTGGTTAGTGTTTTCATGCCAGGTCTTAGCTTGACCACTCTGGGTTTTCTTCCACCCACTACCTGCTTCGGCGAACATCGCTCGCCGTGGCAACCTGTTTAGTGACATGCGTAACACAAGCCCCAACCAACGTAATCTATGGAAGTCGACCACTTGCTCCAATGGGCAACCGCATTTACTTAAAACTCTGTGCCTAACCTCAGCATTGCTCATCCGGCTGCCCCATCAGTTTCGTGCAATGCTGCGTAGACAGTGGTGTTCAAACACCGACAGTCTATCTTTATCCTGTTCCCGTAATGGCCAAGTTTCTGCGCCGTATAGTCGAACTGCCGTAGCATACGCTCGACCCTTCACAGACAGCCGGATGTCTAGACGGGACCACAAATGTCTCACGTTGGATAAACGCCGAGTGGTATTCGATGGGTGGCGTAAACAGGCGTCTGGGGTTATCCAGGGTTGAGAGAAAGAACTAAAGAGATCGGAGAGAGGTTTTTCTAAATGGTTGCGGAACGTGGTCGAGACAGCACCTTATTGGCTGGGGGCTACCCAGCTTGGGCGGGCGGTAGCTGTCCAATGAAGTGCGAAGACTTCTTCCACCGTCAAGAGGAAACCCCAGGTACTCCGCTCCTACGTCTATCTAGCGGGGATGTTTTGACCGGTAAACTGCCCCTCACCGTATTTATTTACTGGAGTGGCCTCTCCAGGCATAACTGGATCTACGGCTGTGAAAAGCCATCCTGTGTAGCTCGCAGGGCCATGGAGGCACGCAAGGTGCAGTGTCGTCGTCAAAACGTAAGCAGTTACAGATAACTGGCAAATGTGTCAACATTTGAACAAAAGGAAATCTGATGAATGTGTTCACAGGATGTGTGGGCATGTTACTCTCCGGTTGCCCTGGCCGGGGAAGGGGAATAACCTCGAGATCCCCACCCGAAGCCTCTTCTCTAGAAAGCCAGACAACAGGACGGAGCTCAGAGTTCGCAGTCCATTGGTGGCCGGTGTCCTTTGGAGAGGGTTAAACGTCCCAGGTGCCCAATTGAACCCATAACCAGTGACGCAACCAGGATGGTGTGCGTGTGGTTCGTACGCTTCTTCTTGTTTGGTTTGGGATCAGGGGTTTTAGCCAACTCCACTAGGTGAACTGCCAACGGTTCACCAACCCGGATGCCGGCTTTTCGTCCTCTCACTTTGGTCGGAAAACACCGCCACGGGAAGGTAGTGAGTACGGCTTCCTCAGTAGAGGCTAGTTGAGACGCTTAGTCATTAAGGAGCTTTTCGCGAGGTGTAAGGGACTGGTGACCAGTCACAATACCAGACACCCACCGCCGAACATACTGAGGCTTTCAGAGGCCACACCGGTGTGTGATGGACAGCAGGCTGGGTGGAACCTCGTAGTTACGAAGACCTGCTGTTCAGTGATGAAAACCGGTAACCTAAGCCCCGGGACTTGGAGTGGCGAACCACATAAGGCCCCGCTAGGTCAGGCGTGGTATAGAACCGGGCGACAAAAAAGTTGGTTGGCGGTGGTACGGCTCGGAACACAGGGTCCAAAGCACGCCGGTGACAGCGACTAAACCACTGCGCTGCTAAGCATTCGAAACGTTTCGGACGAACCAGAACAGACTAAGCTTTAAGCTATAGGGTTCGTGATGCAGCATAATTAAAACAACACCTGGTTCATCAATATTCTAGCAAGGCATTTTTCATTACCATACAATTAGGTGATGAACAGTATAAAGGATAAACCCTAGAGTTACAAAAACTTACTGCTCACTCATGACAATAAGTAAACTAATCCCTGGGACTTCGGGGGGGGGGAGAGAACCATATATGTCCCCCCTCTGGGACAGATAAACTGGACGACAGCTAAATTGCTTATTATAAAAGTTATCGGTGACAGTGATTAAATCTCGGACTTCATAGCCCATACCATTAAAGGGAATTAATCCATTCGATCCTCACCAAAATAGGTATCTATATGCGGATACAACGGCTCGTAGAAAGCTCTTCTGCTAAAAATGGTTCTTGTTGCCGATCGAACGACAAATGCTATCGATCCATCGTCTCATAAGTCGGAACTCCACCACGTCTAGCCTACTTTCCAATCTGATACGTCCCAGTCTCCAATCCACTGTAGTCCCCCTGCTCGGCATTGATCTGTTGCACACCAAACAAACTGAATTATTGCTATATGGGAAAGCCTGATTTGGTGATCATGTTACCGATTCTTTTGTTGTCATTAAATTGGGTACCGGTGGTTATTTGACCAGCAACTCTGAGGCCCCTAGTTCGAATCCCGTCACCGCCGCCCACCCTTTCCACTTCTACATGGTCCCAGGAAGCCTTCAATCGGTTGCAACTCTCTTCCCGAAAACTTATTTCACATTTGTTTATTCAATAGGTGAAAAGGAGGTAAAAACATTATTATCGTCAGTATTTACTTCCATCTATGTTACTAATTCAAATAATTTAGAACGCACTGGGTACATAGGATCCAATGCAGAAGTGCGCTTGCTTTTCTCCAGAAAAAACCGATGCATGCATAAAAAACAAGACAGACATTCACATGTCAGTTTCACACATTCCTGGTGTTCGAGGATTGCCAGTATCCGCTCATCTAATATGCTCTACGATTCTATTCACTTATCTTACGGGTGTGATTGATGGAACTACCGTAGCTTACCGCTTTTGTAATGGATACACAAGTGTTATGTCTGATTCATGGGGATAATCGGAAAATGTGTCATTTGAATACGAATATTTATCGCTCATGATGCAGACTGGTGATAACGCGTTTAGTTCACGTGCTTCGCAGGACTGGATTGGCCCATCTCTCAACCTCACGTTAACTAGGGGAATAATATAGTTAATGAGCAAATTTTGCTATCTGGACAGCTTTGTCTTGCCCGCGGACGAATCACACATGAAGTGTCCGCAGACTCAAATGGCACCTGCCAACATAAGACATCTGTGGCGCCATCGGGCTTTCTGTGAAGGGTCCAGTGTATGTTGCAACAGTTCGGCCAGCGCTGTCTTATGTCAGTAACGTCATCGATAAATCACTGGAGAACGCACCAAGTGGTCTTTGACATTGTGGTGTTCAGTGGGCGGCCGCAG